TTTTGTCCTGCCTTCCTGGCTTACACAAAGTGTCTCAGTTTCCCGGGGACAACCCACAGCAACTCAATGTTCTCTTCGAGCCTTTCCAATGACTCCCAGGCTTCTCGGCTAGCTCGTGGGTTAGCATAGATGAGAGCCTCATGCACGGGAGACGTTTTCAATCTGACACATCCGCTTGCATCCTCGTACAGTCCATGATCAACATAGAGCCGAAGTACGTCAGGATGCCAAGTGGAGAACATGGGTGAAGATTTGAAGGAACGCAAGGCATCCTCCCTACAATCATAGTCAGCGCTCTGACGCGAGGGTGATGATCGAAATTTAAACACCGTGACGGCCATTGTTCGCGCCTTACCAAGGTAGCCCCAACTACGAACTTGTTGAACTCCCACGCAGGTCCTTGGTATAGATCGATTATCGCATCGACGAGAATCATTGAGGAAAACAAGGCCGGAAAGTTTAACGCGGCTAAAACCCTTGGAATACCATGAGATTCGACAGGTCTTCAAAACGCAAACGGCATACAAGGAGCAACCTCCGAATGAGTGTCCTGCTGCGACAACGGTGCGGGAAGAGAAGCCATTCTTTTGCCGTGATTCGCCAATCGACGCATGAAGGCGAGGAAGTTGAATGGGTAGCGTAGATGTTTCTACATCTTCCGGCATGTAATTGATGAGAAAGTTTGCAATGTCTCTCGCATTGTCAGTCCAGTCAACTGCTGTCAATTAATTCCAAGCGAGCGGGTAGGAGAGTTAACCTCTTACAGCTGCTGCCGCTGAGATTCTGTCTGTTTAGCAGAGCAGAGTCCCCATGTTGCACTGACTCCAATGACCATATCTCATCTATGGCACCACAGGTAGTTAGTAAATAACACAGAGTGGCCTCCCATATCTAATCATAATGGGTAGTCATTCTTAGCATACCGACAATAAACACTGGCAGAGACTCACTTCTTTCGGAAAGCCCGTTGCGTGCGCAAGAAACAAGGTGATCCCCTTCGTTCTAGCATTGGCCTCCTTGCCCTTTTTTGTGTATCGGTTGACACAATTCCATAACAACTTTTCGTTCGTAAACCCGGCGCCCTCAGCTTGCCGGACCTGCCGTTCCGTGAATTCATGTCCTAGCTTCATGACATCTCTATTCGAAGAGCGAGGAGGCGGTTCGGGGACCGGAGCATCTGGAGTGGCTCTGGGATTGGCTGCAGGTATGACATGCGTGCTGATGTTGTATACGTCGAGTAGTTTATCGGTCCGGGGCTTGTAGGGCAGGGGCGGGGTCTCGATGTGCCCTTCGTGAGGTTTAAATGGCACCCATGGGCACGGTGTAACAGTCGCCCGGAGTGTTGTAGGAGTGTAAGGGGTTGAGAGAGGCGCCATTGGATGTCAACGCGGCATCCTGCCTGGAGTTCTATTTATGTAAGATCGGTGTAACTGCGAGCTCATTCAGAATCACTGCGGAAACGAAATGACGAGACACAAATTAGACCTTATCGAACCACCCAAGGGCACTGTCTGGAGACCATCATGATTCCTACATAAGGCTATGGACCGTCTATATCCACACTCGACATCACGGGGTGTTCGCTGGTGTTCGAATGGAAGACGAGGAGGGGAGCCGAACAATATTGAGACGGCGGCAAAGTCTACCGCTGTCAAAGACTATCAACCTGATGCAGATTTCCTTCGGCACCTCGGTGACGAGTTGCTCACGAGCCACGAACGAGCTCAGACATCCTAACGCAATTTGTTAGACACGCGCATAGTCAGCAAGGTTAACACGTTCTAGTGACAGTCCTAGATTCGTGGAGCGGTCTACGCCAGGTGTACCTGTGCGGAATCGAATTGTCTGCGTTGGTGATTGGCATTTGTAATTGAGGTCTATGGACCTTTTTTCGTGTCCTTACATAGCTTTGAGCAAACCTGATTTTGATAAGTCGAAATTCGCAATTGCGGCAAGCCCCATTACCTTAACTCGGGCGCCAACTGCATACGGCAGAAACGTTGCTTGCTGCAGGTGTGTAAGTACGAGGGAAAGACGGAAGATGAGCTAAAATATTTTGAACTCGTTTCATTGGCCATGATAAGCAGTACAAGGGCAAGGAACACGCTGTTTCTGGTGATGTCCGAAATTAAAAGTCTCACACCCCCTATTACGCACCATTATTAGGTAGGAGTACGTATATTACCCCGCCTACTACTCCGCATTAGTTGCGAGCGTCGAGCCTCGTCATATAATTGTCAGTCATTTGTGCAGCGCGTTTAGTAGCGGAGAATAGCGACAGTATGAGGCGTGCCGCATACGATTTGAAAGTTCAGTTGCGGCGTTACGTCGACTCGAGATATGTATTGATCAGTACTAGACTGTATCCTTGTCGGGCACTACACCTGACAACATAAATTTCCGCCCATCATCTCTATTGAGCGCCAAGATACCAACTGTGCTCCGTGCCTTTGTTGCATCTCTGAAACTGCATCTCCCGATCATCGCTGAACTAGCAAGGCGTGCTGGAAACTGATGTCGAGGCACCACTCTGATCAGCGTTCTAATCCCAGAGATTCTCACGCAGACCTCTAGCAAGCGTGACAAATGTTGAAATCGCCATGGGTGGTCTAGGATGATTCGACGATGAGTCTGCCAAAACAACACTGGGGTAGCACGATCGTAGAAATACGAGAGGAGAAGGATCTTTCCGTAAGGCAAAGCGTCCAGGAATGATGGCTGGTAAACGCCATAGGTTTGAGTTCACAGATACTATTGCAATCAATCAATAAACACGAAGAGAAAAACGAACTGACTCATCCCTAGCCATGACGAGCTCTAAGACTCAATTGCAAGCCTCAACACTGCCTATATGATATCGGCAGTTTATGATCGGGGCAACTTTTGCCTCGCGCTCTGGCATATCCCACGACACTGCCACACACCGCCCCATTGTTTTCATGATCATACTTGTTCTCAACTCCATTGACACTAGAGTCGTTGATCAATCAACCACCCTCACAGGGTACAGGCAGAGCGCTTGTCACTTAAACCAGGTATCATATAACCGACGTGCTGGATACTCAACCTAGAATTCACGGTACGCGCATCATTAGCCAAAACGGTAGAAAGGAAAATGCCCCCGGCTCCAGAGCATCACATCATGTAACCGTGCCTGAACAGAATATCATCGTCACGAATTGACAATCACCCTCCTGGTGATGCGCAGCACTCCCTTCGTGATTCGGGAAAAATCCAATCATAGATGGAAGCAAAGAGGCCAGGGGACACCGACCTGACGAAAAATTTGATCCCGCGGAAGCATCAACGATGGAGGCTTACAGATCCAAGGCTCTGCCATGATAACTTTGCGTCAAATTCCGAAAAGCTGTATAAATCAATAGATAAGCCAGTAAGTACATTTCATATACGTATCCTCGGAGCTGGCATGCGCGGACGACATGCTGACAGCCTGAAGAAGTACAATTACAAGTCCTCGTGCAGGGGATTTAGTCGGTTGATTCGTGAGACGTTGAAAGTCGAAGCTTTGAGGTGTCTATGTGCGCGCACGCATGGTAGCGCAGTGTACATGCGAGTGGACTGAGATATGTGTAAGACGAAGACAGTCGGAAGCTTGACGGTAGTCAGATGGCTGTGCATCGTTGTTTGGCAAAGCCTTTGGATCCAAACAACCGCTTGTTTCTTGCTTGTTTCCGACAACAGTCGAGTATGATTAGGAACCTCACCTCAAAACTTCCTGGCATCCCGACGACGATTTCATAGGTGGATCTATATTGTTAGTGAGATATTCCCTCATGCAATGTTGGTTGCAAAGGTTCGTGAGGGTTGGGGTGGCACTTGCAAGGTGCGTGTGTCATTAATATTGCTGCAAATGTCGACGATTGAACCTTATGTCCTCGCGCGCATATCTTTTTGACGCGATGCCATGAGTCCTGTAGAACCTGCTCGACAATGGCTCATTATTGTTTCTCTAGCCTAGGCCCCAACTACAACACAACCATCCTCGACGCTGCACGGGCCACAGCCCTCCGAGTCAGACACAGACATCGACATTCGATTTATCATTCAATGAACAATATCGACAGTGTACAAGTAGCGCGCTTGTAACTTCTCCAACGGCCACGCCGATTTCACGATTTACGCGGGGGACACCATACAGACAAAGGGCTGGTGATCCCTGGACTAGCCACAATGATGACCATGGCAGATTTTGGAGAAGGTTTGCCGCCATGCCGCATATATTTTTTTCATCCACGGGACCGACCCGTGAACAAGGAGACGTGTAACAAGCAGTCCTTGGTCACACGAGGGATGCATTCAGGGCGAATATGAACCTGACGGATAATACATGAAGACAATAAGTGAATGTCATCGTTACTACGTCCGATGGCGCAGGCACAGACCAACACAATATGAATACATAACAAAATCACCGGAACCACTGTGAACTTACCTGACGTGCCAAATTCCCATTGTGCGCACCCCGATCTCGCCAGTACAATGTTATCTCATTCAGATTCTAGTATGTGCTGCAAGGTCATTCTGGCGAGGGAAAGATGCCTTAAACATGTGCAGGATAAAGTCGTGCAGAGTTGACCGGAAATGAATGGCAATGCGGGCTCTGAAACAAGAATGAGTCGGCGAAGCTGTTGTGAGAGGGAGTCCACTGCGTTGAGGATATGGCATGGTTCACAGAACAATAGAGAATGATGTAGACCCTGTTGGGGAGATCAAACTTGAGCTTGAAGCTTGACATCTAGAAGCTGTCCGTCGTTGTTGGGTCAAAGCCCTTGGATCCAAACAACGTTTCTGAAGGTTAGGCGTCACTTGCATTGCAGCTGACCATGGTTAGGTTGCCGCGGAAGAAACCATGTAAACAGAGGAATAACCTATATGTCGATACTACCAGTGAATGTAGTGACAAATGCAGTATCATGAGTTGCGAGCGGAAGTAAAAGCACCTCTACGAAGGAACGTACAACCAAAGCGTACATAAAAATCCAGTCGATACCGCCCTAATCATCGTGGTAGTGTCCGCGAGGGAAACATATTCTGTCAAGGAATCTGTTGCAGCTGCCTTCTATGGTCGAGTCCGAATCTGAGCCATGCTCGGTGTGATAAGTGACGAAGCGTGATGGGGAAGCGTGTGATGAACCTGCAGTGCCTTGCGAATGTTGAGCTCCGTGTACAGCTATACCTTGCGATGACGATACCGCCTGTACAGAGACAACTTGCGACGATGGACCCGCCTGTGAAGAGCTACTTGCGTGTGTTGCAGTGGCAAAGACTACTTGCGACGATGGACCCGCTTGTAATGAGGTACTGACGTGTTCTGCGGCAGTAGCACCGCTCGTAGCTGCCGATGCCTTTGTTTTGCGGACTCGCTTCATCGCAACGTATCTCTGTTATCCGGTCTTCAGCACGAACAGAATTGTAGATAAGATGGACTGAACGTTACCTGGAACCCGCGCGCAGCATATATATCGACGACCTCGGGAGAGTGTTCGTATCTCCTCGTTGGAGCCATTGTGGCAGACGTTTGATTCTTCCCTCGACCGAGTGTTAGCCATTTCCAGATGATGCGATTATCTTCGCTGTCGAGCTCGGCGGGGGAGGTGGGATCATCGGGTGGTGGGGTGTGCCCATCGGTGGTAGGTTCATCATATTCGTCTTTGTTTGCTTTGCTCGCGTCGAGCACAGCATTTGCGGAACACTGACGGTCCATCATGATTAAGTGATAGTGCGAAACCCGAGAAACAACTTGCCTGGTCGCTTTCCTCGGGATCTTCTCCTGCTCGAGCCTTCCCTCCAGATATCGGTTGGTTGGGCGTGGGATGCACAGGCGGGTTTTGGTGAAGACGACGTGCAAAGAAGCTGTGCTTGTTGCACTGTTCTGGAGTGGACTCGTTTGCTGGAGGGCGATGTCGAGAGATGATGTTCCGGAAGTGGCGGGCTGAGAATAGGTGGTGAAGACGGGGACCAGATGATGCCGAAGGAGGAGATGGCTCGGAAGACTGCGAATGATTACTGTCAGTACCAGCCTCATTGCATGATAAAGAGTTCTACCTCAAAAAAGTTGTTGTATGGATCGTCGTGCCCGTCCTCGATGATACCATCACCCCCCGTAGCATCAGCCTGTGACAAGTTCTGTGAGCAAGGCAAGCAAGGCAATGAAACACGAGAATACCGACATCAAGGCAAGATGATGATGGGCGTTCGGGTCGAGTTTCCTGCTGTGTAACTCGACTGTGATCCTGTTGCAGTATGGGTGGTCCAAGCTCAGGAGCTATGTCTTTGACCATCCATAGAGTGAGTTTCTTGTCGCATCCACCATATGCCAGGTATGCTCCATCTCGAGAGAATGACACACAGCAAAGGATTTGGTGGTCCTGATGATGAAATGGCTGACCGAATGATGGACAAAATGGCTGACCAAGTGGCTGATAAGACTCTGTGTCCCATAACTGGGCAACATCATTGCCTGTGCACGCCAGGACATTGTTTTCGGGTGAAAGTGCGATGGAAAACACGTTATTGCCATGCTTGAAGCGATGGAGTGGTTTGCCTGAGGTGCTGTCGAAAACACGTGCGAATTCGTCGGATGCGGAATAGATTTTGCTGCTGTCCGAAGACCACACCAACGACCTCACCTGTATCCCCAGGACTTCGATGGGGCCGACGACAAGCTTGCCGGTCTTCGTGTTCCGGATGCAAATTGTTCTGTTCCTCCCGCCTGATGCAATTCTATCTCCTGAAGGTGAATATGCAAGTGCAAGCACCCAGCCTTGCTTCGTCTTGATCGGACCCACTTTGACTTTTCCGGTTTCTACTTTTCGAATGAGGATTGTTCCATCGTCGGACCCGCTGGCTAAATGGCTTCCGCTGGGAGACCATGAGAGCGACCGCACCCCCTCGCTATGACCCTTCCAAACGCCTTCCATCATCTCTCCTTCGATGTTCCATCGCTGAACACTTCCATCCTCCCTCCCGCACGCAATCGTCTTCCCGTCCGGTGAAAGCGCCAGTGAATATATCCTTCCACCTTTCCCTTTCCATGGTTCGCCGACAAGAAGTCCCGTGTCGCAGTTCCACTTCCGCATCGTGCCGTCCCACGAACCACTCACGATGTGGGCATTGTCGTGCAAGAAGACGAAACTCCATACAGGCCCCTCATGTCCCTCAAATTCGTGCTTCGGAGTGGGTCTTGTGGATTCCGCTGGGGTTGAAGTTTCCTCGAGGGTCTGCCTTTCAAAGGATCTAGCAGCCATGGTAGCTCGTTACCATAAGTGTCTGGTAAATCAATCTAGCAGTTTGTGGTCAATTATGCGGGGCGAAAAGTTGACCAACACTTACTGGTCGGTCTGCTGGTATCTTCCCTGGGAGAAAGCTAGGCGTATTTTATATATTCTCGCAGGCATGAGGCGGCGCTAATCATCTACTTATTGCAGGCTGTGCAGCCATACAGCAATTCCTCCCATTTCGGCTAGTCCGACGTTTGCAAACCATGATCCCCACTACCCTCTTAATATTATCCATCTCATTCACGATATCATATTCGCACGGTGAACTACGTTCTTGTGCATATACTCAAGAGTCAAGACAGACAGTGAGCTTTATCCGTCAACGTAAACTCTGACGCTTATTCTTTCAGAGCCCACATTGCCGTTTATTTCCGATCATTCGTGCTTCGAGTCCTCGCAATCCTACACACGTTTGTCCACCCACCAGACACCTTGCCATATTTTCCAAGATCTGAGCAAGCTAATATGATACTCATCAGCAGATCGCAGGTGTGAGAACGAGCACGAGAACGAGAAAAATCTGGGTGCGCAAAGGGAATTTGGCATGTCAGGTGACCCCACTGTGCGTCTGGTTGGCCATTTGATATTCATGTAAGCGCCTGTGCGTACCATTAAAAGTGACCACGAGTACAGATGCCTCCCCTGATTGCCTGCATGCATTTCCCCTTCCCCTAGACCCATCCCTCGGTGACCGCGGAACACTCGTTGCACGTCCGCCGTGATCCATGGGTCAATTCCGTTGTAACTCATCGATATCCTACGAAAGACTTATTCTTTCAATGTTAGCAGGCTAAGGACCAAGCACAAACGAATACAATTCTTGGTGCCTGTGGCAATGACGGGTATGTTTCTCCACCTCTGCTCAATCCATCCAATTAACTTCCCTGTATACGTGCGTACACTAGATGAATTTGACATATTCGAGGACAAGTAGGACACTCCCTGGGAGGCGCCCTTGCGGAGCTTGAATGTGTGTTCATGACATTGAACCTTCCCTCTAACATCGCTATCAAAGGTATGTCCATACTCACTTTCAATTGCAAGGGCGCGGGATACTCAGCTGGAATTTTTGGGCGTGACATATGGTGCACCCCGCGTCAGAAATGCAGTATGGGCTGCTCTCTTCGATTCTCTGGTAAACTCGATTTCCCTCCTTGCTGTCCTGCTTTACACTGTTTGTGTCTCACACTTGACGAAATCACCTTCCTTGCAGGGCATACCTACCAACCCTCGTCCCTGTCGAAGTCTCTGAACCCCGCGCAAAAGAATGGTTTCGCTCACTCTTAAGTGGCGTCAACTTCTTGCACGTAGTTTTCTTAGCTATCTCTTCTAGCATCATCTGGTGACCCTTAGCCCTCCCTCCCACCCCCGGCTCGTCGCTTCTGGAACGTCATTTCTTGACACCGACCACCGGCAGACGAGTCCCCGCAAGAACATCCAAAGCGCCGTTTTTTCACGCGTCGTACTCGCTCAAACACACCTTTGCAGCCCGCAACCAGAAAACTCACCCAACCAACGCCAGAAGTGAAGGCCCAAGCAGGAGACGAATCCGACAAAAGTGAGCAGAATGTCGGCCTACCAGATGTAAGTCCTGATCTAGCTCCCGCACTATTGTTTCAATGTCTGGCTTTTCAGTGTCCTGTGAATGCTACGCTCACTATGAGTAAGGGTAAAGTCGAGCAACGAGAAGCTCGCCGGCAAAGAAAATCGCAACCGGTGTCCGGACAGCCAGGGTCATCGCTGCAAGTTGTGGTTGGAGACACTCAGTGTTTGCAAGCCACGGAAGGTTCACCATAACACGTGTCCCATCGCACTTCATCACCGCCTATCACAGTAATGACTCAGATGCGGACTCAATCCAAGGTTCCTGCAACAGGCTCCTCGATAAATTATGTTTAACTTGTGGATGCTACCACGAGGATACTTAGTGCAAGTATTTCGCCGTGCTTTTATGTGTGTATCCTTCATTGGTTTTGAGCCTTGTTTTTCTTTTCTTCCGCTACCTAAGTACAACATATACTAATCCATCACATTCTGTATGTTATCTGATGTTTATCTTCGTGACTACATTCTGTACCAACTTGAAATGTCATCAGTCTATTGAAATCTTTGTACGCCTTGCACTACACCGACCTACCGTGGTTGGCTTTGACTTGACCTTCAGCACAAATCGGTTGTTTGAATATAAAAAAACAAGGTTTAGTATTACCAGGAAAGCAGGTATGGAACAAGTATGATTGTGACGGTTCTCTCGGCCGCTTTGAACGTTGTGTAAATTTCGTCACCATGTCGATTTCACAACGTGAGTTTGAAATTACAGATGCCTCTGCATGTACCTGTCGGGATGGTCGGTGGAAAAACAACCTTCGAGTATTGATGGATCGAAGAGGTTGTCTCGAAAACTGACGTAGAACAATACAGAATAATGTAAACCCTCTTGGGGAGATCAAACTTGACCTTGACATCTAGAAGCTGTCCATTGTTGTTCAGTCAAAGCCCTTGGACATTTCTGAAGGCTAGGCGTCACTTGCATTGCAGCTGACCATGGTTAGGTTGCCGCAAAAGAAACCATGTGAACAGAGCAATAACCCACACATCGATACCACCAGTGAATGTAGTTACGAGGCTACACATACGAGAATGTAAAGTGATGAATGCAGTACTATGAGTTGCAAGCGGAAGTACAAGCACCTCTACGAAGGAACGTACAAGCAAAGTGTACATAAAAGTCCAGTCGATACCGCCCTAATCATTGTGGTAGTGTCCGCGAGGGAAACATATTTTGTCGAGGAATCTGTTGCAGCTGCCTTCTATGGTCGAGTCCGAATCTGAGCCATGCTCGGTGTGATACGTGACCAAGTGCGATGGGGAACCGTGTGATGATGAACCTGCAGTGCCTTGCGAATGCTGCGCTCCGTGTACAGCTATACCTTGCGATGACGATACTGCCTGTCGGAAACAACTTGCAACGATGGACCCGCCTGTGAAGAGCTACTCGCGTGTGTTGCAGTGGCAAAGACTACTTGCGACAATGGACCCGCTTGTGATGAGGTACTGGCGTGTTCTGTGGCAGGAGTAGCACCGCTCGTAGCTGCTGATGCCTTTGTCTTGCGGACCCGCTTCATCGCAACGTATCTCTGTTGTTCCCGTCCTCAGCACGAACAGAATTGTAGATAAGATGGACTGAACGTTACCTGGAACCCACGCGCAGCATATATGTCAACGGCCTCGGAAGAGCGTTCGTATCTCCTCATTGGAGCCATTGTGGCAGAAGCTGGATTCTTCCCTCGACCAAGTGTTAGCCATTTCCAGATAATGCGATTATCTTCGCTGTCGAGCTCAGCGGGGGAAGTGGGATCATCGGGTGGTGGGGTGTGCGCATCAATGGGAGGTTCATCGTCTTCGTCTTTGTTTGCTTTGCTCGCATCGAGCGCAGCATTCGCGGAACACTGACGGTCCATCATGATTAAGTGATAGTGTGAAACCCGAGAAACAACTTGCCTGGTCGCTTTCCTCGGGATCTTCTCCTGCTCGAACCTTCCCTCCAGGTATCGGTTGGTTGGGCGTGGGATCCACAGGCGGGTTTTGGTGAAGACGACGTGCAAAGAAACTGCGCTTGTTGCACTGTTCTGGAGTGGACTCATTTGCTGGAGGGCGATGTCGAGAGATGATGTTCCGGAAGTGGTGAGCTGAGAATAGGTTGTGGAGACGGGGGCCATATGATGCCAAAGGAGATGGTTCGGGAGACTGCGAATGATTACCGTCAGTACCAGCCTCGTTGCATGATAAAGAGTTTTACCTCAAAAAAGTTGTTGTATGGATCATCGTGCGCGTCCTCGATGATACCATCACCCCCTGTAGCATCAGCCTGTGACAAGTCCTGTAAGCAAGGCAAGAAAGGCAATGAAACATGAGAATACCGACGTCAAGGCAAGAGGATGATGGGGGTTCAAGTCGAGTGTCCTGCTGTGTGCCTTGACTGTGATCCTGTTGAAGTGTGGGCACTGCAAGCTCAGGAGCTATGTCTTTGACCATCCATAGAGTGATTTTCCTCCCTCCACCATATGCCAGGTATGTTCCATCTCGAGAGAACGACACATAGTAAAGGTCTTGGCGCTCCTGCTGAAATGGCTGACCGAGTGGTTGATGTGACTCTGTGTCCCATAACTGTGTGACACCACCAAAGCCCACACATGCAAGGACATTGTTTTTGGGTGAAAGTGCGATAGACCATAAGGATCTGCCATGCTCGAAGCGATGGAGTAGTTCGCCTGAGGTGCTGTCGAAAACACGTGCGAATTCGTCGCAAGTGGAATAGATTTTGCTGCTGTCCAAAGACCACACCAATGACGTCACAGAAATACCCAGGCCTTTGATGGGGCCGACGACAAGCTTGCCGGTCTTCGTGTCCCAGATGCAAATTGTTTTGTTCCACCCGCCTGATGCAATTCTATCTCCTGAAGGTGAATATGCAAGTGTAAGCACCCCCTTTTGCTTCGTCTTGATTGGACCCACTTCGACTTTTCCGGTTTCTACTTTTCGGATGAGGATTGTTCCATCGCTGGACCCGCTGGCTAAATGGCCTCCGCCGGGAGACCATGAGAGCGACCACACCGCCTTGCTATGACCCTTCCAAACGTCTTCCATCATCTCTCCTTCAGTGTTCCATCGCTGAACACTTCCATCCGCCCTCCCGCACGCAATCGTCTTCCCGTCCGGTGAAAGCGCCAGTGAATATATCCTTCCACCTTTCTCTTCCCATGGTTCTCCGACAAGAAGTCCTGTGTCGTAGTTCCACTTCCGCATCGTGCCGTCCCACGAACCACTCACGATGTGGGCGTTGTCGTGCAAGAAGACGAAACTCCATATAGTCTCCTTATGTCCCATAAATTTGTGCTTTGGAGTGGGTCTTTTGGATTCCGCTGGGGTTGAAGCTTCCTCGAGGGTCCGCCTTTCAAAGGATCTAGCAGCCATGGTAGCTCGTTACCATAAGCGTCTGGTAAATCAATCTGGCGGTTTGTGGTGAATTATGTGGGGCGAAAAGTTGACCGACACCTACTGGTTGGTCTGCTGGTATCTTCTTTGGGAGAAAGCTAGCAAGGTAGGCGTATTTTATATATTTTCGCAGGCATGGATTCCATGAGGCGGCGCTAATCGTCAATCCGCAGGTTCATGCGGCCATACAGCAATTCCTCCCATTTCAGCTGGGAAAATCGTGATCCCCACTACCCTCTTAATATCATACACCCCATTCACGATATCGTATTCGCTTGGTGAACCATGTTCTTGCGCATATACTCAAGACACAGACGCCGACCTTCATTCGTCAACATGGCTTCTGCCAATCACACCCATGCATTTCTCTCAGCTCACATTACCATTTATTTCCGACCATTTGCGCTTTGAGTCCTCCCAATCCTGCACATGCTCAAGGGTTCTCCCACCAGACGCCTTGTCATATTTTCCGACATCTGAGCGAGCTAATATGATACTCATGAGCGGATCGCAGGTGCGAGAACGAGAACGAGAAAGATCGGGGTGTGCAAGTGGAATTTGGCATGTCAGGTGACCTCACTGTGCGTCTGGTTGGCCATTTGATATTCATGTAAGCGCCTGCGCGTGCCATCAAAAGTGACCACGAATACAAATGCCCTCCCCTTATTGCCTGCATGCATTTTCCCCTTCCCTTACACCCGTTCCTCGTGCGACCGCGGAACACCCATTGCACGTCTGCCCTGATTCATTGGTCGATTCCGTTCTAACTTATCGATATCCTACGAAAGACTGATTCTTTCAATGTTAGCAGGGTAAGGACCAAGCACGAACGAACACAATTCATGTGCCTGTGGCAATGATGGGTACGTTTCTCCACCTCTGCTCAATCCATCCAACTAACTTCCCTGTATACGTGCGTACACTAGATGCATATATTCGAGGACAGGTAGGACACTCCCTGGCCTTAGTATGTCCATACTCACTTTCAATTGCAAGGGTGCGGGATACTCACAGCTGGAATTTTTAGGCGTGACATATGGTACACCCCGCGTCGGAAATGCAGTATGGGCTGCTCTCTTCGATTCCCTGGTAAGCTTGATCTCCCTCCTCGCTGTGCCTTCCCCGCATCTGGCCATGTGATGAACTACTAAATTCCCGGGGTAGATCTCGGATTTCCAACGCGTTAACAATAAAGACGTTATCCCGATCATTCCGGGGCGCCTTATGGGCTTCTCACATGTCCAGGGAGAAGTCCACATCATCCCAGCCGTATGAACTTTGACCAGCATATGAGTTGCAGTAAAACCCATGGCATGACGAGATTCATAACATACAATTGCTTCTTGAGCTTAATCGGAAGTTAGAAAAGCAATAATATCGTGAACCCAAGAAGAGTGTAGACAATAAGGTTATAGATAGATTGAGTAACGTGACTGTGAAGTCAAGGACGCGTTATTTAGATGTGTTTGCGTAGTGTTCAAGTGTGATAGTATGTGATTTGAATAAGCTGTTTCACTTAATTTTCTTGATAGGTTGGCTCTGTCTCTGCTCATCACAGCAGACGACGACGAGCAGTACTCGTTCTCATTCTAACTCGACTTTGATTCTCGCTCACGTTTGCCAGTGTACTTGTATACCCACATCAGTCCCCAAGTCTTATACATTTAGCAAGCTCATACAACGGATTCATTTAGCATCTAACCATGGACTCCCCAGTACCAGAAACAAATGATGTCTTCTCCCT